CTTGGTAGGATTCCCCTCTCGACCATTCACTGCCCAGACAGCACACCAAATCCTTTGGATATCTAGTGGACATCCCAATATCCACTGAATGTCCAGTCCATGGTGGATATCTATTTTATATCCATGAAATATAATTTATAGACATGCAAATGTCCATAAATAATAATAATTATATAGCAAATTATTAAAAAACTACGCCATTGTGCTCGCCATACTATATTCAATTAAATGTAAAGCAATACCTTAATAAAAATGATCTAGTAAGCTCAAATCATGGCTATGACACTCGTCAGAAAGAAACATTTTTAATACCATTTATGAAGAAGTCCATTGGTCAAAAAAGTTATGCCTATTTAGCTCCTAAATTATTCAATTCCCTGCCCGAAACGATAAAGAAAACAACAAATCTTATAAAGTATAAAAACCTATTGAAAAAATTTGTCAGTGGAAAAAATAGAATTGAAATCCATAACCTAATAGAAAATTAAATATAGATTGGCAAATTAAGTAGTAACAAAAAAAAAAAAAAAAAAAAAAATTCTATCCCGTTAGCGAAATATGTCTCAGTGAGTATGTGAGTATGATATTGTTTCTAATATTAGTTGTTTAATAGCTTAGCTGTATATTATATTATATTATTATTACTGTCATCATTATTATTCTTATTAATATCTTATTCTAATAGGTACTTCTTACGAGAGATACTTTATAATCCTTAATCTTAATTTTTAATTTTAAGTAATACTTGTTATGGTACTTTCTTCTTTTTTTATATATATTTGTTCTGCCTACACACAGGTTATAACCTCGTAGGCTTATTTTGGATATTTATAGGCTAAAATTACTCGATTGTATTTATATATTTGTAAAATTCAAATTGGCCAATAAATATATTATTATTATTATTATTATTATTATTGTGGCTAATACGGTAAGGTGTATTCAATATCCCATGGACATCCACTAAATATATCAAAGTCTAGGCGCGAACGCAAACCACTAGATGTAATTTTTGATTTTGCTTACTAAGTATAGATGGCGATACCACTTTCGCTTGTTGAATATCTACTCATGCTCAACTCGCCGTAATTGAGTTCGATCGAAATTGGTATCCCAATCGAACTCCATTAGGACTAGACTCGAGAATTTCCATTTATTGCTGAAGAGTCCTAATAAGGGTGACTTTCTTCTTAGTGTGCAAAATCAAAAGCAGAGTGTTGAAAATATTTTGAGTGTTGAAAATATTTTTTATTTCTGCTATTTTCTTTCGACGTTATTCAATAATCATTGGTTACTTATGAACCTCTACTAAAGATACCCATAAAATATTTTGCTGAATATCCGAATATCTTCTATATCCTGGGATATAGACGGACATTTGGATTGGATATCCATATTAGATCCACTGGATATATTGGATATCCACAAAATATATTTTGTGAATATCTCTGGGATTTCTTGTATTGTCTGGAAGATACCCATTAGATATTTTGCTAGATATCCATAGGATATCTTCTATATTCTGAATATAGACGGACATTTGGATATTCATATTAGATCCACGGGATAATTCTGATATCCTGTGGATATATTGGATATCCACAAAAGATATTCTGTGGTTATCTCTGGGATTTGGTGTGTTGTCTGGGTTGTGGGTTCTAATTAACAGTGTTGTTCCTAAAGTGGCGCTGGGAAAATTTTTATTTGGAACTACGCTCATATTAGCTCTTGAGTCTACCAAGAATTTTAAATTATTTATCTACTCCTATTAATTTATACATGAATTATTCAACTGCTTTTGAGCAATTAATAGAATGAATAAACAAATAGCGTGAGTTTTAATAGTGAGTTATTATAACTCACGCTGGGCTCCTAGGATAATTCGGTATGTAAATAGTGTGCGCAGTAAATTCTTGGAAATTTTAAAGTCGATAAATTTTCCATTAGCGTAAAATGTTAGAAAGATTTTTTAACAACTGGAAAGGAATAAATAATAATTAAAAGATTTTAAAATTATTAAATTGTAAACGCCTCTCAGTAGGCGGAACAGTCAATTATTAATTTGAGGGGAGTAGTGTCATTTGATATTTTAACAAGATAATTTTGACGTTTTCAAATCAATTTCCAATAATAGTGCTAAAAAAAAGATGAATTTAGATAGTGAAGATGAGTTATTATGTACACCTCCAGGAATAAGAGCTATAGCTAGTAATGCAATTCAGAATTTATTACCAGAAAAATCAAAAAACTAGTATAAAGGTGTATACTAAAATTTTCAAGATTGGTGTAGTTCGTTTACAGAAAATGTACCTTTGGTATATTTTAATGAACTTAGCAATAAATATAAAGCATCGTCTCTATGGACTTTCTACTCCTTGCTAAGAAGCACACTCAACATAAATAATGGAATTAATATAGAGAATTATTCAAAATTATGTGCGTTTCATAAACGTCAATCAGAAAAACATATAGCTAAAAAGGCAAAACATTTACGTCAGAGCAACTTAATAATTTCATAAATGAAGCTCCTGATGAGAAATATCTGGAGACAAAGGTAATAGCTTTTACAAAGCTTCAAACGTTTTTATCATCTAGTCTAGTGGTCGCCAACCTCTCAATGTATTGAGCTACTTTGTTAATTTTGGAATAAACAGCGAGCTACCCACACGGAAGCCACGTAACGCAACGTAAATGAAATAATCCACAGTTAATTTATCATTATATGTGTATTTATTTTACTATTTAACTGATAATACATAATACATAGGTACTAATAATAAACTAATAACAAAATAACTAATATTACTAGTACGTACTTGTTCATAGCTACATTCCTACCTACCAAACGAAGGTGTTTGAAAAATAAACACAAACTTTTATCCAGCCACAACGGCATGTCACGTAAGATTTAAAAATAGTTAATAATAACAACAAAAAAGTAACGCACTATCATGAACATAAACATTGAAAAATAAAAAAGCACGTTCAATGAGAAGGCTGACACTCAGACTCATCGATAATTTTTTTAATGTTTGCAGTATAATTTGATACAGCCATTCGAATACAATTATCCAAATGTTCATCTGTAAGTCGATTGCGATATTTGTTTTTAATAAACTTCATATTGGAAAAGGAAAATTCAC